GCAGCTGAACCAGCCCCTTTGCCCGCCCGGCACAAAGCACACGTAGACATAAACAGCGTGTATACTCAATATTTATTATCTGTCCGGACGAGGATATTACTGCGGCCGTAAAGCTGTGCCCTGCGGGTGGCGCTTGCTCTTTACCATCGAAGCATTACGAGAACAGAGCTTAGTGGGCAGTGACACATCGTCGAGCCAGTCTGCTTGTCAATTTAGGGCATTTGCGAACGCATGTGATGTGAAGGATGCTGGTTTTTTTCATTGATGACCACTATTGTCTAGGACACTTTGTCAGAAAGGGATGCCCTCTTGCTCCTTGTAGCATGGGCTATGAAGGAGTGGCCTTCCACCAACTTGATGTCTCTACTCACGAATAACGGAGGTTTTGCATTTCATCGATCCCCTTTTCTCCCGTTCTTCTAACTGCAGGAAACACAGAAGTTGTTTCTGGAAGTCGATTGACATGGGTAGTCATCTGGCCAAGCCCATCACCGGTAAGTCGGGTTCCTCCCTTTGGGTCTGGAATGAGACCAAATAATTCAAGGAGATCAGTGCGAATGAAGTTTGGAAAATCCATTACTTTTCGAACGCTCGCGTGAAACCACATTTGCGTCTCAAAACGCGTATGAAATGCGTAGAAGGGAAGAGGTGGGTAATATACTCCTGAACCCTCATTTCTGCCTACCCGCTATCTCCGTGCATTGCCCCACCGCCATGCTTTATATAGAGAAAGAATCGTACGAGAGTAATGCACATGGGCTAAATTTTGGGGCAGCCGCGATGCAAGGCTGGCGGGTGGAGATGGAAGACGCTCACACGGTGATCGAGACTATGGGTAAGACAAGCGGGTGCCTGGGAAGGAGAAGGCATAGTCAACCCCCGAGGCCGAAGCCCTGCTTGCAACAAAGGTCTGGCGTCAATGCGCAGGCTGATGACTGCGACCGTAGTGTGAGAAAAGGATTCGAGGATCTGAGAGCCGGGAGGAAGAGGGGAAAGGAAAACATAGGGGTATCAGGGGCAGTGTCTTATCAGACAACGCGCTGATTCTCGGTGCCAGATGAAGTGTCCCTCGATAATCCTCCTTTGTTTCCCGAGGCCATGCGGCTGCCCTGGTCGCCCAGAGTAGATTGAAGCCGCCCCGCTCACCTTTCCCCTCCTTCCCTTCATCGGCCGGGACCTCAGACCCGGAGCTGGAGGGCCACTCTTTCATCGCAGTCTACGACGGGCACGGGGGGCAGTACTCCGCCATCTATGCGGGGAAGCACATGGTGGATTTCGTCAGACGGACGGTAGCTTACACGGAGTACAAGAAAACCAAGGACGTGGCCCACCTCCAGGTGAGGTTCTCCCGTGTGTCTAGACCGCCCTGTCGCTCCTGTTTGGACCCACAGTAAGGAGGCTGCGTCTTCGATTCTTACGATTTCCCCGCCTTGGTTGTACGTTGCTCACGGTCCCGAACGGTGCTCTCTATCGCCTCCCTCTTACCTGCTTCTCGTCAAAAGAAGGGCTCCACACGAGCGATCCACTTCTGTTCCGAGGGACACTTGACACTCCCCGCTCACCGCTTCTGGCTCTCCCTTCCCCTCTTCCTCCACCCAGACCGCCATCCACTCCGCGTTTCTGAATCTGGACGAGTCCCTGAAACTCCAAGATGAATTTGTCCACAAGCACGATACCAGTGGATGCACGGCCATCTGCGCCATCATCACGCCTTCCCATGTGGTGGTTGCCAACGCCGGCGACTCTCGCGCGGTCATGTACACTACAAAGGGCACCCACCAGCTCTCGCGCGACCACAAACCCTACCTGGAGGACGAGCGGAAGCGGATCGAGAGCGCGGGGGGGATGGTGAGCATGCAGCGTGTCGACGGGGACTTGGCCCTGTCGCGGTCATTGGGAGACTTCCAATTCAAAGACCGGTGAGTCCCACGGGGGTCCCGTCACTGCCGCCGTGTGAGGGTGGATTTGGATTTATGGTGTCCGAATTAATTTCCGTGTGACTCTCCTGCTCCTCTTTTTGCCCATTTTCAACGTTTTGTGGCGTAAGGTGACGCCGCCATGACCTCTCGCCCCTGAGCGCTCCTGATCCTTATCCCCACCTATCCTCCGCAGAAACCTTCCCCCCGAACGCCAAAAAGTCACGGCTGTGCCCGAGGTTCAGGTGCATGTACGGGATCCGGAGAAGGACTTGTGTCTCCTCCTCGCCTGCGACGGGGTCTGGGATGTCTGTGAGAGCGCCGAGGCCGGGCGCATCGTCTTCGACATCCTGGGGGACGGGGAGAAACGGATGGCCTTGGTCGCGGAGGAGCTCTTGGACCAATGCCTGTTGCGGTATTCGAAAGACAATATGTCGGCGGTGGTCGTTGGCTTTGCCAAGTTGTGGGAGGAGCACGGCAAGGAGGGAGAGGGGGTGGAGGGGAGGCGGCGAAGGAGGCTGCCTGCGGGGGAGGAGGAGGAATCGAACGATGGAGGAAAGGCGTCAGAGAGGGGAAAGGAAGAAAAGTAGGGGCTGGAAGAGCTGATGTTTTATCGTGAGAGGAGGATCAAGGCCGACACGAGGGGTAAGAAGACCATAGATTAGTTGCCTATTTGCCGATAAATTGAACCAGTAATGGCGCGAGCACCAGGAGCAGCATCCACAGCATTTGCAGCAGCCGTGTCGGCAGGAGGGGGGGGGTCGGTAAGCACATGCCAAGAAAGAGGCCGATGGATGGTGATATCCAACGCATGGAGCAGGAAACGAGAAGAAAGAGACAAGGAGTGCATGTGGTATGGACGGGCGTCATCGTGAGCTGGATTGCATGAGCAAACATTCGGGAAGCGTGCAAGCAAATTGCTTCAACTGATGTGAACACGGCGGTGCGATTCTATACGATGGGACAGTTTTGATAAACAGTGAATTCTGATCCCAGCGATAAGAGATGCGGTCGCGTAAACTTTTCTGGCTGGCATGTGGCTACATTCGAATGGGAGCCAAGAGGGAAGAGCAACAGAGCCTCCCATCCCTGCACTTTTTCTAAAATTGACAATAGCAACAACTGTTTTGCGAATTTGCCGGAAAGAGTGAAGATTAAAGTGTATTTCTCTGCAAGTCCCTCAGTATTATGTGCATGCATGTCAAAAAATAATTCAAGCCAGCGGGCTCGATAGCCCAAAAGAAACACAAAACTATCAAGAGCGCGGAGATTCAGGGGCCTTCAATGTGTATGTCGCTATTAGCTTTCATGACTTTTGAGGTATGATCATCCCCGATGATATTTCACTGCCAGTAGCACTGCAGCTCCTTCACTCCATAAGCCCATCCATTCCCCGCTTACAACACCTCACCTTTTCCGCTTCGCCTGCCTCTCCTCCCCGCTGCCCCGCCCGGCACCCAAAGCATCCACCTTTCCCTTCCCCCTCGACGTGATCACAGCACTTCGTTCCACGGCCACGGCCGTCGCCACGCCCAACCCCTTCCTCTGTGCCAGTGTCTGGGTCTCCCAGGTCGAAACCATTGCTTGCCTCCGCTCCTGAACAGCCGCCTCGATGCTCTCCACATTTTCCCCCTTCGCCTCTAAATCGTCCCGGAAATGAAGCAAGCCGGTCTCCAAGGACCGCAGCATGGCCCGCCTCGCTTCCTCTTCCTGAGCGGTCCACTGCGGCGGGGGCTTCTGCTGATATTTTCCGTGGGAATGCGGTCGACGGTCTAGTTCCTCCTGCCCGAGGGGCCCCGTTCCCAGCGCTTGGCCGATCGAGATGGTCCGGCCCCCGTCCTCGTCATCGTCGGAGGAGGAGGAGGAGTAAGTGGCCTCGCCCGTCCGCCCTCGCTTCTTGGCTTTATCCGCCCCTTTTGCCCTCCCGCTTCGGTCACCAGGCCGCGTGCTTTGTCCAGGGGCTCTTGCTCCAGAGGGAAGGGGGGAGAGGTCGAGGGGGCGTCCGTCCACATCCTCCCCTTCGCTGTCCTGATCGTCATCGCCCCGAGCCCAGCCGTACTTGCTGCTAAAGATGCTCGTGGCCGCTTCGTCCATGGGCGTCCCATCCACTTCCTCCTCGTCCTCCTCCTCCTCCACCTGCCGCAGAGGAGCCGCCGACGCCCCTGGCCCATACCGCGACATTTCGGACGCGCTCGACCCGCCCGCCTCCCACTCCCCTCCCCGTGCCCCCCTCCCTCCCCGGGTGTCACCTCCCGTCCACCTTCCTCCTTCCAACCGATTTTCCCCCGCCGCCTTTTTCTTCACAAATTCGTCCAAGCGTTTCATCTTTCGCAAGAGGAGCACGAGCGGACCCTCCGTCGTCAAGCCCGCCTGCCGCGCCTGCCGAACAAGGGCATCTCGCCCCTTCTCAAGATCTTCCTCCTTCCCTTCCTCTTCCCCTTCCTTTTCCTCCCCCTCTTTCTCCAGGTCAACCGTCAAGGTAGCCTCCAAGCCAGCAATGAACAAAGGAGGGTAGATGGACCACTCCCCCCACACTTTCAAGACCTTCAGGAGCTTCTCCTCGACGTGCTGGGCAGTGAGCCTCCCCAACACGGCCAAGGAGTTGTGGAAGGCAGAGAACACGTAGGGCAGTGCGAGTTGCAACGATGTTCGATAGGTAGAGGCGTTCCTGACACCGGCCGAGGAATTGTGCAATATGTCTGACACCAGATAAAGACGGGCCACCCTCCGGGAGAGGGACACAGGCTGTTCCCCCGCCAGGTCCTCTGACCATCCCTTCTCCGCACACAGACTCTCCTTGAGCAAGCCCACCACCTCCTCGCTCGCATCGGCATGGTCCAGGGCGAATCCCATCCCCTCCTTGATTTTCGCCCGCCCTCCGTCCAATGCTCGCAGCAAGGCAACAAAGGTCTCGTAGTCTTTCCGGGAGAGGCGAGAAGAAGGCGCCCGCCCCCGCGCAATGTCCCGTGCCCGTTCGGCCTGTCTGCCCGTCAAGAAAGCAGCCGCGGGCATGACAGCTTCTTGCCCCTCATCCCCAGGGGCCCCTACCCGCCCCCGACCTCCCCCTCTCCGACTCCCGCCCGGGCTACGGCTTCGGCTTCGGCTGGCGCTGTGGCTTCGACTACGGCGACGTCGACCCCTTTCTCGGCTCCTGCTCCTCTCCCTGCTTCTACTCCTGCTCTCATGGCGTCCACCCCTCTCCCTCTCTCTCGACCGACTCTGCCGTCGATCCCTCCCTCGACTCCGGCTTCGGCCCCTCTTCCCCGCCTCCTTTTTCCTCTCTGGGCTTCGACTCCGACCTCTATCCCGGCCTTTTTCCCGCCCTCGCTCCCCGTAGTCGCTCGTTTTCTCCTCCTTGGCCTCTTCTTTCACCTCCCGCCGGTCGCGCCAAGCCCCCGGGATGGCGGGAGGTGCCCAGAATGGACCGTCGACGGTCATTTGAAAGGGCCGCACCCGCCACCTCGTCTCCGTGTCGCCCATCAAAAAGCTGAAGACGCGCCACCGGTAAAAGAGAGCCTCCGGCGAGTCCCCTTCCCACAAGAAGCGGAAGCGTGGGTTTTTGGCTTTCTGTCACCTTCAGTCGTTCCTCCAGGGGCCCGCCGTCCTTGGCAACATACCGGGCGGTCCGCGAGATCAAAAACTCCACGTCTTTATCCTCCGGAAAAAGCACCGGGAGGACGACATCCCCTGGCCCCGGTTCCTTCTCCTCCTCTTCCCCTTCCTTCCTCCGACCTGGCTCCCCTTCGGGCGATCGGGATCGGGAGCGGCCGTACCTCCCACCACGCCTCCCTCTACCCTCATCCTCCCCGTCATCCAGGCGAGATGG